CTTTTCCTGTTTTACAGTGACTCCACAGTTCCTTCATCACTGCCTGGTGTTTCTTCCAGTAGCTCACCAAGGCTGTAACATCTGTGTTGTTTCATCCATCCTTGTCCCCTTCCAGTGGGGAAGGCTTTGTGTGCAGTTTCTGTTTTGGCAGGATTTTCAGGTTTGTTTTGTTTTTTTTTTTTTTTAAGGCAGCAGTAGAAATGTTTTGCTCCCTCCAGCTCCTGTGTGTAAATTAGGAAAGAGCAGATCGTTGGTGGCTGGGGGAACAGGGAAGATTGATGAGGTTTCTGCAATCCCATGGGAGTTCCCTGGCAGGCTCCTGGGAAACTGCTGAGTCCTGCATGATGAACCTCACCCTCACGGTAACAGCTCTGTTTTGCTTGAGGAGCCATCAGGAGTGCCACCATCATTGTCATCCAGAAGCATTAGGAGATCTTATAGATATGCCCTTGAATGCCTTGAAAATAGAGAACAAAGCCTCCTACCCTCTGCACCATCTCCCAGGGGGTTGGGCTATTGCTTGGGCCTTTTGACAGGAGAAGAGGAAACGGCCTCAAGCTGTGCCAGAGGAGGTTCAGGTTAGACATCAGGAGGAATTTCTTCATGGAAAGGGTTTTTCAGCACTCCAAGGGGCTGCCCAGGGAGGTGTCCAAGGAAGGACTGGATGTGGCACTCAGGGCTCCGGGCTGGTGGCAGTGTGGTATTTGGTCAAAGGGTGGATTCCGTGATCCTGGAGATCTTTTCCAAATCTAACAATTCTTTGATTCCCTCCCCAGATCCCATCCTGCTGACTGGTCTGTGCCCTCTGCCCCTCTGTGCCCGTTCCTGACTGCCAGAGCTGCCTCTGTGCTCTGCATTCCCTCCTCACTCCAGCCCTGTATCCCTGACGCTTTTCCTGGCACCCTTCCCAACTCCTCTTGCTGCCAAGTCAGACTCAGTACAAGCGTCTTGTATTCCCTTTCAAATCCTTTCCTATCGTGGCAAATAAACCCACTGTCCTCCACACACACACTCCTGATATTATCCTTGACAGCTCTTCACTTCTGGCACTCAGCTGCTGCTTAATCATATGGTTTCTTTCTCTGAGTCACCTCATGTGCTCTTGCAGCCAAGAGCTTGACTCTGATTTGGCAATGTCACGGCAGGAGCACATCCCTCGGGATCCCTTTGCAGCCCCGCATGTCCCACTGCCACCAGCACGCTCCTCTGTGCTCTGCTCCGGGCCACATCCGTGCCTCTGGAGAGTGGGACCATTTCCTCTCCTGTGCCCTCCCACACACGCCACCAGCACCCCGCTCCCCACCGCTGTGCCTGATTTTATCATTTCCCTGCTGCTTTGCAGTTTCTGTTCTTAGCACAGAGTGACCTGCCTGACCTTGACTCCCAGGTAGCCCGAGCGCTCAGATCCCTTCTCCAAACATCTCCCACTGAGGCCCCTCTCCCCCCACGCTCTCGTCCTTGTGACATTTGCAAAGAGGGGGCAAACGGAGCAAACCAAACAAACCCCATACTGCTGGAAAAGGGGAACCAATGCAATGTGCAGGGAGCACCAGGAATAACCTCGCTGCCTTCCGAGCCCTGTCCTTCCCCTGACCCCTCCGTGCTGCGGGCCCGGCACAGGACCCCCCGCTCCTCCCCAAATCCCCTGTGTACCTACGGAGCGATAACCGAGCTCAGCTCCTCCCTAGGAAAACAACCGGAGCTTCCCAGAGGAGCTGTTTGCAGACAACGCTGCAAAACCGCTTCCCCGCACTGCTCCTTGTACCGAGCAAATGTAAGGGCAGCCTAAAGCCAGAGGGCTGGGATATAAAAGTTGGATTTCTCATTGTCCAGAGAATGCTGCAGGTGTGGACACACCTATTCACCCTCCCAGCCCCTCGGCCGGTCCCGCTTTGTATGAAGAGGGTGTTGGTGTTTATTGCCTTTTTTCCCAGCTGTACACTGGCACGGACTTTGCTCCTCTGGGCTGGGATTTCTAAGCAGCGGGAGGCTTTCCACGTGTGTTTGAGAAGGTACAAAGCCTGCCGGAAAACAATGGAAATAGCTGCCTTATGACTGCTGCGTGTCACGCACTCGGTTCTTGCCCGCTCGTTTGTCCTTGGAGCTGCTTGCACTGCCTGGAACCTGATCTCGAGCGGTGCCGGGCGCCGGGGCTGGCACGAACACCGGCACCGAGCCACGGGCACGGCCGTGCTCCAGCCTGGCCAGAGCCCGACTGGATGTGCAGGGGCTGACCGACCCCCTCAGCCCCCGGAGCCACCGCGGATGTGTGGAGCGGGCGGTGGGTTCCGTGAGGAGTGGGGGTTTGTGGGGGCTTCCTGATGGGAGGAAACAGCTGCTTCAGAGCTGAGTGCTTCTCCCGTGCTCTGCTTCCCACAGGGCCCCTGGCCTGGGAGCATCCCGGCTGGCTCAGCATGGCTCTGCTAGCTTCTCCACACCTCCAGGACAGGATCTCCCCCGATCCCCTCGACCTTCCCAAAGGACAGGCTCCCTCTGTGCAAGCTTCCCTCAGACTTCAAGGTCAGGATCCCCTTTATTTCCCCTACGATAGCCTCCCCTCAGCCTCTCAGGACTGGATCTTCTCATCCACAAGCTCCCCTTTGTCCAGCTCCCCAAGCACAGGATCGCCTCCATTTTCCCCAGGACTGGATCCCCTCACCTGCTCCTGCAGGACAGGCTCCCCTCAGCCCCGCCAATAACTGGATGCCCTCAGAACCCTCTGGGACAAGCTCCCCTCATTCTCCCCAGCACAGGAGCCCCTCAGCCCCCCAAACACGGGATCCCCAAGACTGGATCCCTTCAGCTCCCTCTGTCCAAGCCCCCTCCAGCCCCTCCTCAGCGGGCACAGCCCGGGGGGGGCCGGGATGCAGCAGCCTCCGTTCCCCCTTGCCTCCCTCGCTGCCTGCTGCGTGCTGCAGCCCGCCTTCCCCCCGCCCTGCCGCGCTCCCCCCGCTCGCCGCCCGCGGTGATCCGCGCTGAGCTCACGGCCGCGCCTCACGACACCCTGGCTCGGCACGTCAGCCCCGCCATCGCGTGAGAGCCGCCGCCCGCCGCCGCCCCCCCGCCCGCCGCCATCACGCACGGCGGGAACAGCTGCCGGCACGGCGCGGCCAGACCCCGCTCCCAGACCCCGCTCCCAGCCAAGGCGGGCTCTCGCCAGCTCCTATTAATGCAGATCTTAATTAATGACCCCCGCGGGGGGCGAGCCGCCCTTCACACGCAACACGCGCTCCCCCCGTTCTCCCGCGCCTGGCGGGGAAGCACGAAGAGGTTAAAATGGAGGCGGGGGCGTGAGGCGGCTGCCAAGGCGGGATTAGCGCGGCTCGGAGCTCGGCACGCAACGCGGGACGGGGCACGGCGGCCACACGCGAGGGACCCGCGGTGACACGCGTGGCACCGCCGTGCAAAGCCGGGGGGAGACGCAGAGCACCGGGCGCCCGAACGGGCTCACGGTACCCTCCGTCTCCCCCCCGGCTTTGCATCCCTCTGTTGAGACAACTCTTACCCCTTTTTCCTTTCTTCCCTTCTTTACTGATGCAATTTTCCTTTTTTTCCCATGAAGCTTTTTTTTCTGTCCCCTAAAATTCACTACTTTCTTCAATCCAACCCCCCTTTTCTCCCCTATTCGTCTCCCAACCTTACTGATGCTTCACCTCAGAGATGGGTCGTGCATAAATTAAATTAAGGTCACCTCAGGTTTTTTTTTTTTTTTTTTGCCATGGCCTGTCCCCAGTTTTGTGTGTGTGTCCCTAAATTATGGTTTTGGGGGTGTATTGTTTTATATAAGGATGTAGGGAATGTTTTGGGGATGTAGGAAGTGCTTTGGGGATGTAGGAATTCCTTTGGGCAGATGGTCCCTGCTGTGTGACAAATCCAAGTCCCAACAGGGGCTGGGTTTTGGAGGAAACAGGAACCCATCAGCGCTGGAAAGAAGGGCAGAAAGTGGAATTAATCCCGCTGAAACTGCCGAATCTCGCTGCCAATCCTTCCCTGATTTATTTATTTTCGTGACTGTGTTCGCTCCAGTGGGTCTCACCGGGAGCTGGCGGCTCCCGGTTCATCCCGAGGCTGAGCTCGTGCCTCGGGTGTGACACGCAGATGACCCGGCCGGCAGGCCCGGATTTGGGGGTGTCAGGGGTGGCTTTGGGGCACCAGAGCCGAACTGGGGCTGGTGGGGCTGAATTAGGGGTGTCAGATACAGGTTTGAGGTGTCAGGAGGAGCTTTGGGGTGTCACGGTTAAATTTGGGCTGTCAGAGCTGGCTGGGGGGGGGGGGGGGCAGAGGTGGTTTTGGGGTGTCAGTATAGGATTTGGGGAGTCAGGGACGGGTTTGGGATGTCAGGGCCAAAGTCGGGACATTGGGGGTGACTTTGCGAGTGCAGGGCCAAATTGGGGTGACAGGGCCAAATTGGGGGGACATTGATGTCATGTTTTGGCTTTGGGGTGTCAGGGTTTGACTTCAGGGTATTGGGGGGCTTCGGGGTGGCAGGGCCGAATTTGGGGTGCCATGTTTTGTCTTTTTTGTGTCAAAATCGAATCCAGGATTTTGGGGCCGGCTTCGGGGTGGCAAGGCGGAATTTGGGGTGCCAAGGTTTGGCTTGGGGGTGTCAAGGCCCAATTTGGGATGTCGGGGCCGGCTTCGGGGTGTCAGGAGCGGCTCTGGGGAGCCATGTTTGGCATGTCAGGGCTGGCTTTGGGGTGTCAGGGGGCTTTTGGGGGTGCACTAAACCCCGATCCTGCGGCGAGCCCGCGCCGCGCCGCGCTCGCCCCCCTCACCTCAGCCCCTGTGACGCGCACGCGCTGTTGCCGCGGTTACGGCGGACGCCGCGGCCACAAAATGGCGGCGGCCGCCG